TAACTACCTACTCGGTATCTACCTGAGCTTTTTTATCTTTTGATTATAATTCCAGAATGAAATAAAAAATATTGAAACATTTATGTATAATGACATTTTTGACAAAAACCTCCTCCTTCCGTATTCAAGTATCAAAAGGTACTTCAACTATCAACCTCCGCACGGATAACTCAGTTAGTTGGGTGGTGAGAAAGTTGAAAAAATTATTAAGGATCGAAACTCGCGATGATCACGCGTAGGTTATCATTAATGTGTGTTGGACTGAACTTCTTGTGCGTCGAGTATAAGATTTACCACAATTAGTCTTATCACCTCTCATATGTCTTATTGAGTTGAGCATGTGAATGTTTGGAGTGACCGGGGATTGAACCTTTTTCAGGATGTATCGAAAAGTACTTCCTACTACACAATAATGTACATAGATTTGTTTGATGGGACAAAGTTCAATATAAAGAGAATATGAGCAAACAGAGCGTGTGCACGCTAGCAAAATACCACTCCATGGACAAAGAAAGATAACGAATTTACTTTGATATGTGGAGTTATAGAGAAAATTATTAATTGAGATTTGTTTGAGGAGATACAATAGGAGATAAATAATTGTAGATCACATACGAAGTACTCCGTATTTATTACTTTAAGTAAAAATGATTAAGTATTTTGGGACACCTAAACAAAAAAATTGGCATGTGACGAAGGAATAGAGAACTATTTTTTCTGAAGAAAAAAGCGAGTATCATTTCTTCAAGAATACGTACAAGAGTATAATTTTATTATTAGAATTCATCTCAGGTTGCGTCTGACAGGATATCCGCCTAGGATCATATTTAGGATTTAGCTATAAAATGAATTCAACAATCCAATATTTTACTACGTAATTCATAAGTATCAACTATAAATTTCAACGATTAGATTTTAAAACAGGTTGAAAGTAGTCCCAACAAACTCACTTTCTCAGAGCATCTCCACTATAATGTGCACGGTGCACATGTGGCATGAGTGGTAACCACATAAATATTAGCAATTAAAGTATGTCTCTCCTTATTTGAATGATTTTATACAATTTTGGTAAGTTTTTCCCCGCAATGTCAACAGCAATGTCAACATCTAGACGGTCTCCTTGACATTGTAGAGAAAAACTTACCAAAACTGTATAAAATCATTCAAATAAGGAGAGAAATAATTTATTCATTAATATTTATGTGACTATTTCTCATGCCACGTGTGCACCGTGCACATTTTACCATTGGAGATGCTCTCACATCAAAATTTAGTAATTTTTAATGATCTAACTGACTCAAACTAAAAATTGATACTACGTACTACAGTAAGAACAACAATCGAACACTAGTTGTTGATACGAATGCACAAAAAATAAGACCATCAAATTTGGTAAAAACCAATGCGAAATCAAATATTGTACGGAGTAAGAAATATGTAAAGGCCGGGGGATGCCTTCGCAGAAAGGAAAAAAAAAACTTAAAATAATAATAATACTAGCCATCGATTGTCCATTAAAATCCTTTAAGATGTATCAAGAAACTGATTGCCCATTAAGACACCAAGTCGTCGCAATCTTACTATTAATGTCTTCTAAACCCCCAAATGAGATCTGGGGTAACATGAGTTACATATATATGTTTAATGAAAAAAATGAAATTATTATGTTCCTTACATTGTAAATTTATAATATTATTACATCATTAATGCAAAAATAATACGGAATACGTAGTGTAATTCATCTTGATGTTATAAAGTTTTTATGAGAAATCTACTCGAATTCACATAATGTATTATCTTCATCCCCAATCGATAACTTTGTTTTGTTGAACACTAAATTAAGAAAAGATGGGGTAACATAGGAGTTACCTTTTTAAGATTTTTTTTTTTTGAATGATACCGTTTTAAAAAGTTAAAACAAACATTTATATAACCTAGAGTTTTTTTTAGAGTATATACCCTAGAGTTTGTGAATACTAGAAATGCCATTATCAATTCCGAATACTAAAAAAGAAATACTCCGTAAGACACTACGGGGTATAACATTTGGGTTCAAAGTGTTCGATTTTGTTAAGTTTATATCTCTAATAATACAATTATTTTAAAAGATTGACATATAGTTAATTTAACGTATCCCTGATGAGAATTAGGCGTCAACAAACATGAAAATCAAAATATTAACACTAAATGAGTAGATAAGTATCTTAAAAAAATGAGTAGATAAGTACAAATTTGAGAACTCTGCCTCACCATCAACCTGACCAGTATCAATCACTCGATCAAAATTAATGGTCGAGGTTTGTGAATTCATTTTAATTATAATTTTTGATGTACTGCTTTTTGTTGTCTGTTCTCAATATGAACAAAGCACCTCTAAGGTAAAGAATCTAGCTACCATTATTATGCATTATATTAGTCCCTAAGTGATAACTCTGTTTGTTGAACACAAAATTTTAAAATGTGGGATAACCGATAACATACAACAAAGTACTTCGTATATAGGAGTTTGAAAACAAAATTTTAAAATGTGGGATAACCGATAACATACAAAGTACTTCGTATATAGGAGTACTTTGTTAACTTTGTATAGGAGTTACCGTTTTAAAAAGTTAAAACAAACCTTTTATAGTAGTATAACCGGAGCCAGAAATACGGTCCAGGGGGTCGAGAATCAACTTTATACAAAATGAAAACGGTGGATCGTTTCCAAACAATGTCCGAGTTGAATATTTTATATGTAGTTTAGATAAATAGGCACTCGCAACAATAAAAGAGACTGTTTTTGCCTTATTTTTGAGTCATGTCACGTAAATAATGAGTTAATTATACGCTATTTTTAAAATTTGGGGGGAAAAAATCAATATTACTCAGAGGGGTGTGCACGGGTCGGGTTCGGGCGGGTCGGGTTTGCGAACCCTAAACCCGTTCGGGTTTTTTAATTTAAATATTAGGCCCGACCCTTTAATATTTCAAATCGGGTATTTCGGATATTTTTAAGTCGGATATTATCGGATATCGGGTCGGGTTTTGGATATTTCGGTTATATTAAAAAAATTATAATTGGATAATTAAAGTGTTCAAATGTCACTTTGACAAAAATTGTACACACTAGTGCACTAAACTTCCTAATTACACAAATAATTTAACACAAATTGCACAAATAATTACACAAATAATTGAACAAAAGTAATAATTTAACATATTTCAAAGTACACACTACATAATTTAATATATTTTGGATATTTTGGTTATAGCAAAACACATTATAATTGGATAGTTAAAGTGTTGGAATGCCACTTTAACAAAAATTGTACACAATAGTTCACTTCACATTCAATTTACACAAATAATTTAATACAAATTGCACAAATAATTTAATACAAATTGCACAAATAATTACACAAATAATTGAACACAAGTATTAATTTAAATATTCAAAGTACACACTAAACATATATTTCGGATATTCGGGCGGGTCGGGTTGGGATTTCACAAACCCTACCCGCCACCGGTCTAGGCCCAATACTAATCGGATTTTCGGTTTCGGGTTTTTCGGGTCGGATATCCACTTCGGTTCGGATAATATCCGAAAAAATATCGGGTTTTTCGGGTCGGATCGGGTTTTGCTCAGCCCTAATTACTCATCAAATTTTGCTAATTTTACGTTTAGATAGTGCTGATTTTGCAGAAGTCATAACTTTTTACTCATAATGAGTTACAGGGGCCATAATATATATCAAATCGAAGATATTTCAGAGCTCTATGCTCTCAAACTTTCAGCGGGGTCGACTGACCCCCCTGACCCCTTGGCTCCGCCCCTGTATAACCTAAAGTTTCTAAATACTAGAAATGCTATTATCGGAATAAAAAAAGTAAGACACTAATAACATTTGGGTTCGAAGAGTACGATTTTGTGAAGTTCATTTCTTTATAATAAAAAAATTATTTTAATGCTGGTTGGATAAAGTGAACTTAAGTAAATCCAGTGCAATAAAGTAAACCCAAGTTTTTATAAACCTAGGTTAATTTAAGTGAATCATACGTAAAATAGTGTTTAAAATAAATAAGGTGAACTTAGGTTAATGTAATAAATGTTATTTGGATGAATGTACTCTAGCTCATTTTATGTTAAACGAGAATTCAACCTTCAAAACTCTTACTTCAGAGGTTTTTCATTTTAAAGTTTTTCTAGGTTCTCGAGAGTTATGTGAGGTTAATGCATAACCTAGGTTTTTGTTGCAAAAACAAAAACAAATTAGGTTAACTAAAAATTAAACAAGCACTAATCTAGATTAAACCCCAAACAAACAGACCATAAAATATCAACATATAGTTAATTTAGAGACCGTTTGGCAACACTGTTTTCGGCTTATTAGGCTTATCAGCCAACTTTTTCACCAAACACGTAATATTTGTTTTCGCGGGCTGAATTGTGTAAAAAGCGGAAAAAGTAAGGTTAGAGTTACTTTTCTGGTTGTATTGACTGAAGTTACTGTAGATGGTCATTTTAGCTATTTTTACATATAATTTTTTCTTTAATTTATTAATAAAATATATTTTAAAAGTAATTTTTTCTTGAATCAGCAAAATCAGCCAGTGCAGCCACTTCAGCCAGAACTTCATAAATTTTAGCAGAATCAGCGAAATCAGCCTATTTTCGTGCTACCAAACTGTATTCATGACGAGAATGAGGTGTCAACAAACATGAAAATCAAATTATTTACACCAAATGAGTAGATAAGTACGAATTTGAGAACTCTGTCTCACCATCAACCCAACTAATATCAATCATTCGATCAAAAAATTAACGATCAAGATGCGTGCGTTCATTTTAATCACAAATCTCGATGTACCGTTTTTTCGTGTGAGATTTTACAATTGAGATTCTCAACGGTCGAGATTCGAGAAATACCTAAGTGAGATTTCACAAAATCCCTAATGAGGTAACCCTATTTTAGAGCTGAAAATCTATTAGATCTGAAGTCATATTTTGGGTACCTGGAAAAACGATCCAAAGTCGTTACACATACTGTTAAGGGCTAAGGCCCTGTATATTAAGCTGCATCAGAAGCAGTAATAAAACCTTAAAATAAATCAAATGGAAAAGCACCTCTCTAATCCTCCTTTCCTCCCTTTGTCCTCAGCCCTGATCCTCTAATGACCCTCCCCGTCCGTCAACGGGGGCCGTTGAAAAATTAACGCCGTTACGACAATCCTTCCCGTTTAGTCCACTTCCTTTCTTCAAAAGCTCCACTTTCCGCGTATGGCGCTGGAGGGATTGCCCCGGGCTCGGACTCCGCCGTTTGACGCTGACGCGGAGGCCGGCGGAGGCCGTCATGCCGCCGTAAACGGCGGCGATGATGGGCCCAAGACGCCGCGGCTTCCCAGATGGACGAGGCAGGAGATTCTGGTGCTGATACAGGGGAAGAGAGTCGCGGAGAGCCGGGTACGAAGGGGCCGGACGGCCGGGACGGAATTCGGGTCGGCCCAGATCGAGCCGAAGTGGGCTTCGGTTTCTTCGTATTGTAAGAGGCATGGGGTGAATCGGGGCCCGGTTCAGTGCCGGAAGCGGTGGAGTAATCTGGCCGGGGACTTTAAGAAGATCAAGGAATGGGAGGCGCAGATGAAGGAGGAAACGGAGTCGTTTTGGCTGATGAGGAATGATTTGAGGAGGGAGAGGAAGCTTCCGGGGTTCTTCGATAGGGAGGTTTATGACATCCTCGACGGCGGTAACGGCGCAGCCGGTGGCGGCGAGGAGATGACTGCGAGATTGGCTTTAGCTCTAGGGCCATCGGTAGAGGTGGCTGCGGAGGACCCGGAGCCGGAAACTTTGTTTGACAGTGGGAGAAGCGCCGCCGCTGAGGATGGCCTGTTTTCCGATTTTGAGCAATCTGTTCAGGAGGAGGCCGGTGTTGTGAGTCCTGGGAAGGATGTGTCGCCGGAGAAGGAGCTTCCGACCACCGCTATTCCTGCTCCGACCCCAATTTCAGGTATTCATGTCTCTTCTCTCATTTTACATTCAACTTTTTATGCTCTTACGCCTTCGTTTGCTAAGTATGCCATCCAATATACTCAATTTATGCCGTGGCATGTTATTCTGATCTATCTACCTGCAATGAAATGCCCCAAACTTCATTCTTTTGATAAATGAAAAATCTTTTTACAAGTTTTTCTATGATAATCATAGCACTGATATAATGGTGGCGATCTATATTATAGAAACTCAGAAAGTGTAGAGTTTGGCTTGTTTAGATTTCTAAGTTTAGTTTATGAATCAATTGCAGAGCAACAATATGAACCCTTTTCTCAGGAAACTCCTGCTCAAGGTATTCATTCTTTTTTTCTTTGACAAATTACAAGAATATTTCTATTTTATTAACCTCTGAGTTTCAGATTCAGGTATTGTGCTCTTATTATATCATGTGCTGCTCTTATTAAATCATGTGCTGCATCTACTAGTAAATGCACAGAATAGTAAAAAAAAACTTGTTGTAAGGGTAAACTTTGGATAAAATTTCTGAAGTGATGACTTTGCTGAAATTGTAGCTCAAGTGGATCAATGAGTTGGATTATCTAAAAATGTTTTTATATTTTTTTATATTGAACAAATAAATGTAATAAAACGATAGCAGTAGTGTTGGTGTTTTTTTTTTTCATTTCAGCCGATTTACAATAAAGTAACTTATGCACTGCTAAGCTGGTTTTGCCAACACATTCCAAAAAGTTAGTATTTGTATAAATTTGGCCAATGAGGTTGATATGGGAAAGCGAGTGCTACCCAACGGGCTCTTAGTTGTTTGCTATATGATGTGTGCCACAGTTTCAACACCTAAAGATCTATAGTCTTTTAATTTGCTTTTTTATTAGAATGGAATTGAAATCCAGTTGAGTATAACTTTTAGCCTGTCTAGGTTAGTAGGTTGTATTATTGTACCTGTAATATCATCTGGCTTGTCTATCACCGCAAGCCTACTGGTAGTTGGCTGGGTTATGGAAATCAATGAACAGTTTCATAATTCATGTGTCAAATTTCATTATTCACAATGAAGAGGTTGTAGGCTCCGTCCTTATTTGGGACTGAAGGTTCCATTTGGAAAACCAACTCTATTGGTAAAGCATTTTTTAGAAGAATTTTTATGTTTTGAGAATATTGGTGCAAGTGGTTTTGATGATATAACATAAGTTGTATGGAACCAATTTCTGACTACATATCTGGTCATTTAACTGATCAAGATGTGGTATCAACCCGATAAATAAAGCTGACCATGTTTAATCAGAAAGTGACTCCATTTTATATCTTCAAATGGTTTGGGCTTGAAATACCAATTTCTGTAGTCTAATACTATTGGTCGACGGGTGATACTTGGTATTATTGAAAGTCCCTTTCTCTTCGGTTTCTTGTAATAGGCACAAGCCATCAGAAACACCCAACCACCTCAGAGCCAGGCATTGGAAGCACTCAGGAAGGAAGGAAAAGGAAGCGGAGTGTAATGGATGAAGATGAAGAAGAATCAGAAAACCTGCAACACCATCTGGTGAAGGCTTTAGAGAGGAATGGGAAGCTCTTGAGCTCCCAGCTTGAAGCTCAAAATGCACATTTGCAGCTGGACAGGGAGCAACGCAAGGACCATGTGAATAGCCTAATATCAGTTCTTAATAAACTTTCTGATGCTTTGGTGAGGATTGCAGATAAGCTGTAGAGGAGTGAACCAAAGATTGAATATACAGGCACTTAGGTGTTGTTTGGTAAGGCAAAATGACATGTAATGTAATTTAATCAAGTGCACGTGTGATATAATTTTACACGAACAGTTTGATTTTATTACATCATACATGTTATTATAGTGTACCAAAGTACACCTCAGTGTGTATCGTTGGTCTCAAGGTCGCGTTTGTGAACGTGATTTCGGGAGTGACCAAACACACAATTCTTTTCTGCTTTATACTTTACTAAGCTTATATAGTATTGGTAGAAAATAGAGGTATACAAGAAAATAATATAGAAATTTGAGGCTGCTGACAGTTTTTTCTTCCTACACTTGGGTTAGTTGTTTATTTATTTGTCATACATACAGAAGAATTGTCCATCTTGTCAAGTGTCAGGACTGTACAAGTCAAATATAGAGATACTTGAAGTCAAGGTACTTATTGACTTGGAATAATGGTATAGTAGTATTATTCCATAACTTTTTTTTTTTCGAAAGTAGGCTGCACTGATGCATGTATCTTTACATGATTCACCTGAAAATTAAGAACTTCTCTAGTGTTAGCCTAACATTAACATGAATTACGGTTGTGTTTTGACTGATTAAGATTAACATAATTTTTGTATTTTTTATCTAGCACGACGAGTAACAATTAGTCTATAGGGAAAATTGTCAATAGGCTCTTATAATATCTCAAAATAGTCATTTAAACTCTTGAACTAAAAAACAACCAATAAGACCATGAACCTTCTAAAACATTGAAATGTACTATGAATAATTTAGCAAGTTATTATCTGGTTAGCCGGTTACTTAACACATATGAGTATATGACTATATAGTATATATGCACATGTGGAAAAAGAAAGAATGGGGAGAGATTGTAGAGTCCTTTTTGTCTATGCCACAAGCTAACAGCAGATCTTACGCCCTCCATCGCAATTGCATTGTGGTCGCCACTCGAAGAATTGTGCATACCTCGAAGAACCCCAAGAGTAAAAACCACAAATTCACCCTAATCACAATCATCATTCTCATCTACTTTGAGTTTGTTGGATAACCTTTGAGATTGGTACCAGGTACCAAGAAGCGCTCCATTTTTTTCATCTTCTTCGAAGTGAGGAACACCAGTGATGAGGTGGGCAGTAGAACACGTGATGGCGATGAAGGTTATTTAGGCGGCAGAGCTCTTCAACTTCCCCTTCTTCATACGTCAATTTGGGAGGAACACAGATTGTTGGCAACGGCGACACAATGAGCTTGTGAAATCACCAGAGACATCTTCTTGCTGCATTTGAAATCGATGGTGGCGACTCGTGAAAGCAACCAAAGGTGGTTGTGATTTGTTCTTTTGTGTATTTGTGTGTATTTAGCTGGTAAAGTAGAATAATTTGAAAAGCTTAGAAAAAGAACTTATGTATATAAAAAATGTGGAAAACAGTATGTAACACCACTACTTGCATTTTTTACATTTTTAAGCAAAAACAAAAGATATTTTTGAGTTGAATACAATCAATGCATTACTTAACCACCAAAAAATATTTGAGATTAACAATTTTTGGTTACTTTAATTTGTGTTTTAAGAGATCCGAGATTTTGGAATAATCAAATATACTAATCACAAACACACCACGCCCTTTCAAAGGTGTATTCTCCAACTTTGGTTGGAACATTTGGCGTGGGAATTATTCGGATCCTCGACCTTATATAGAGTTGAAATATGGAATTTTTTTAAGAGTAAAATTAATGAGGAATTTTTAAGTAGTATTACGTTTTTCCTTATTAAGAGAAAGTTTCATTCATGCTGAAAACACACAGTCATATTTTGGATTACCATACACTAATATGATAATATTATGGGAAAATAATTCAAATATATCAAACTTTGAAAGGAGAAAGAGATATTTAGGGACTTGCTCGCCTTCGTGATCATAAGACTCAAGATGTTGGAAAAGTTATATGTGTGAAGGATATCGATCAAAGGGTAATAATGGAGGACGAGGAAATAAAAAAGAGGCGGAGGTCATACTTTGATACCTTGTTCAACAGGAATAAAGTGCAATGTATTTATGATCTTACTGTACGAGAGTGTATGATAAATCGGGACTTTGTGAGAAGGATTCAAATGAAAGAAGTTAAAGAGGCTCTGAGAAAAATGGGGAGGAAGAAAGCAGTGGGCCCAAATGGCATACTGATCGAGGATTGGAGAGGTTTGAGAGACAAAGGGAGGGGCTAACACGTTTCTTCCACATGATTTGGAGAAACTCGGACCAACTGGCGCCGGTTGTAGGATGTCCGGCGCCGGTTCTGTGAAAGAATGCCCCGGTTGTTCCGGGCAGGTTGAAAACAGGAGCGAAATGTGAAAAATCCCAAACGACCGGCGCCAGATATGAGATGACTGACGCTGATTGCAGCGCCCAATTTTGTACTTCATTTCTCTTCCTCTTTTGATGCCCGAAATTGACCCAAAAGTGCCGGTTTTCGACCTCTTTTCACTTTTGACCCAATTTTTGTCGCTCCAAGCCGTATTTCATATTTTCGCTCACTCGGGAATATTTACCTATTTTTTCTTCATATTTTGTACAGGTAAATATAATTACCTATGTAAAACATAAGTAATTATTGTGCTTATCAAACAACAAAATGCCAGTGAGTTAGCATAAGAGTACTCTCATTCCTTTATTTAAAAATAAAGGTGATGTAAAAGAATGTGTCAACTATCGAGGGATTAAGCTTATGAGTCACACCATGAAACTTTGGGAGCGAGTGATTGAGCAAAGACTTCAAAAAAGTGTGAAAACCTCGGAGAATCTATGTCTGGACGTTCAACAACTGAGGTCATTCACCTTCTTAGACAAGTTGTGGAAAAGTATAGAGACACTAAAAAGGATTTGCATTTGATGTCCATTGACTTAGAAAAGGCATATGATAGGGTACCTTGGGTAGTCCTTTGATGGGCCTTGACTAGAAAAGGCATATCACGTAAGTATATCAGTATCATCATGATATGTATACTACAAGTGTTTGTACTAGTGTAAGGAGGAATGCGTAGTTCTCTATTACTATCGGAGACAACCAAGGATCGACTTTGAGTCTTTTCTTAGTGTTTGCTAACGATATTGTATTGATTGATGAGATGCATCGACTGTTAAAACAAAGTTGGAAGTATGATGACAAACATTAGACAAGGGTTTCAGACTGAGCCGAAGCAAGACTGCGTATATGGAGTGCAAGTTTGGTGGAGGTTGAAGTAGTAGTAACAGTGGGATTGCTCTTGATGGTAAAGAGATATCGGTATGTGATACGTTCCGTTGTTTGGGCTCCATAATTGAGAAGGATGGTGGATTATATGGAGATGTATCTCATAGAATCAAAGCCGGATGGATGAAATGGAAGAGTGCATCGAGATTTCTATGCGATCGAGGTATGCCGACTAGACTGAAGGGTAAATTTTACCGAACAACAATTGTGTCTTAGAAAATATCAAATTAAATTTGCCATAGGTATAGATCCAAGCCTCAAAGGTCATATTATTTACAACGTATATCACAAATAGAGGCTCGGGATGTTAATGACACTCTCATAAATGCCAAACGTATTTAAATTATTTACTTAACACCGTACATTTAAATTTATGGAAGAAAAAATATATGATTATGGTGTTAAAATGACTTTTTTAATAAGATACGAGGTATTTATATTACATATATAAATTTAGAGTATTTACTTTACAACACTGCAAAGTTTGGGGTATTCAATTTCTTACCCTAACATTGTTTCCAATTGACACTATTTTTGAAACACTAAAGATTTCGAAATATGCAATTCACATCCATAAAAATTTAAACTCCAAATATCAGATTTAATTGATTTTTTTTAAAGATTTTTGTAACATGTGAAGTATGAAAAAGAACCTACTATATTTTTCTTTTCTTTTAAAGCTAACTATGAAAGGAAATGAGCATGATTAGTCATAATATTTGATAGTTGTCATTGAGGCATGGCTCCCAATTCAAAAAATTCAAGAAGAATTAAGATTAAGAGAATTGAGGAAATGAAAGTATGTTAAATGTATGTTGGTCCCTTTTAATATAGAGAAACACAGACACACACGCTGGGGGGGATATATTGTTCTTGATTTCTCACTTTTGTGTGAGACGGAATATGTCTGTCTCACAGAACTGACACTTTTTTTTTTTACAGAACAGGCCTGCGGTGGAATAGGTAGTTCTGGTTCTGTAGCCTTACTAACAGTCCAACACATTAAGGCAGAATAGCCTTTACTGTTCCCCTTAGAGCGTTATCTGCTGAACACAAAGTCTACACTCATTTGAGTTCAATAGTTAAGATCCTAGTGCAATAAAGTAAAGAGCAGTAAGTAAATGACATCAGAGATTTTTATAGTGGTTGAAGGAACAACGTGTTCGTTCCTCTAGTTCATTGTTCCACTAAGCACTTTGTAAATGTTATAGCGCCTAGTTCCCTAGCACCTAAGAATCACTCCTCGCCTTCTTAAAGTGTAGTGTCCTTATCATCCGGGGTGCAATCCTTGCGTCTTGATGACTGGTCATTTCACTGAGCTTGCTTGAAGTATCTCTACTTCACTCCGGTTAGCAGTTACTTTGGCATCCTTATTTTTCAAGAAGTAAACTTTAGAGGATTCAAAAAGTTTTCCTCCAACGTGGAATCTCTCGGAGTTGTTGAGGAACTTGAACGAACTCGTGTTAAAAGGATTCCAAATGTCTTGTTTTCTCACTTTTGTGTGAGACGGAATATGTCTGTCTCACAGAACTGACATTTTTTTTTTGTAGAACAGGCCTGCGGTGGAATAGGTAGTTCTGGTTCGGTAGCCTTACTAACAGTCCAACACATTAAGGCAGAATAGCCTTTAATGTTCCCCTTAGAGCGTTATTTGCTGAACACAAAGTCTACACTCATTTGAGTTCAATAGTTAAGATCCTAGTGCAATAAAGTAAAGAGCAGTAAGTAAATGACATCAGAGATTTTTATAGTGGTTGAAGGAACAACGTGTTCGTTCCTCTAGTTCATTGTTCCACTAAGCACTTTGTAAATGTTATAGCGCCTAGTTCCCTAGCACCTAAGAATCACTCCTCGCCTTCTTCAAGTGTAGTGTCCTTATCATCCGGGGTGCAATCCTTGCGTCTTGATGACTGGTCATTTCACTGAGCTTGCTTGAAGTATCTCTACTTCACTCCGGTTAGCAGTTACTTTGGCGTCCTTATTTTTCAAGAAGTAAACTTTAGAGGATTCAAAAAGTTTTCCTCCAACGTGGAATCTCTCGGAGTTGTTGAGGAACTTGAACGAACTCGTGTTAAAAAGATTCCAAATGGACATGATGTGTTGTTGAAGCTCTCGGAGTAGTTGAAGAACTTGAACAAACTCGTGTTAAGAGATTGATGTAGATCTGAAAAAGTATT